GAACAAGTAGTAGCTTGGTGTCGTGTCTGCCTGCATATGTCTCTACATGGAGCAGAGAATAACTACAATGAAATGTGTACTTAAAAGCCTTAGCTTCTATAAATGAGTTAACAGTCAGACCTGATATAACTGTAAGAGCCTCCTAAACTTATCAGAAACATCTCATTAGTCAGTCTTCTGCTGTTGCTCTGATAACTGTTCATTATTTGTGAGCTAGAGGAATTCCTCAGGATCTGAGTTCTTCTGGAGATGGCTACGTGAGCATTAATAGTTGTGACCGTGAGGGGAGTGGGAGAATGGCAAACGTGCTCTTGGATTCCCTCATGAACTCTCATGGCAAACGTCAGTGGAAGGATGGGTGCAGAACCACCTCTTTGAATATACAACTGAAATAGCTAAGTGGTGTTGAACTGTTTGACTTTCAGCTCTTACAGGCAGTTGGGACTTCAAAGCCTTTGTGTTGAAAAGGAAGGGCTGGTGTGTTCTTGCAGACTGTTTGGCTGCTTTGCAACAAACACAGTTACTGATGCCCAGGCACTCTTTGATTGATGCACAGATCAGATGACTGGGAGTAGCCTTCCGGGTGACATCCCACGTACAGTGATGTCAGCAAAAGATTTCCAAAAATTCAGGTGTGGCACAATCCGGCAATTAAACCGATTAGTGCTCTTGCTGAGTCCCGAGATGGAGCTCTGGCTCTACAGCCCTGCATGTTTAAGGTATTTTATTTAGTACCTTCATCTTACCTAGCACTGAACTTTTCCCTGGTACCATAATTGAAGCATACTGTGAGTTGAAGTAGGATACTATACCAACAGCTGTGTGTTAGCTCTGTTGCTGTCTTAGAAATCTGCTATTGGCTCACAAATGTCCCTGGCTTCTTGGAAGCTGTGACACCAGAAAAAGTGACTCCTGTGGCTCCAGGATGGAGTGCCTTGCTGCGCTGTTGGCTGAAGTTAAAGCTAGCCAGGAGGTGATGGAAGTTGGACAGAAGGAATTGAAGCGTGATGTGGAAACATCTCAAAAAGAAATCAGAACAGTGTTAGCAATGCAGAGGAGCCAGCAACAAATGAAAGAAGATCTGAAAGCAGAGCTGAAATCCAGTCACTTGGATATAAGAACTGTGCTTGAGGAAATCCGACGACTACGGGAAGAAATGGAAGCTCGATTAAATACGCAGGGTGATCTGGTCTTATTGATCAAAGAAGTGAGCACCAATTTAACATGTGTAGACAAGGCTTTCCATACAATGGAAGAGAGTCGGAAAGTTTTTACCAGCCTACACCTTCCTCCAAGAGAAAACGTTGAGCAAGAAGTTTTCTCTGGAAACAGTTTGGATGAGGAACGTGAAAAGAAGGTGTTTAGGGGTAAGACAATGGTGCCTGTGAAACTAGGGGCAGGGGGGGAAGTGAGATCTATTCCTACTTATGCTTCTAAAGTGGTTTGTTTAGGCTGTTTGGAGTGCTTTTAAGAAATATGTTAGAAATTGAGTCTCTTGCTAAAGAAAGTAATGTCTAGCAAATGCAGACATTGCCACACAGACTTTGCTATTATGTGATAAGCAAATCAAGACTTTGATTTGGTTCTGCAAACCAAAAAGTGGGTGATAGACTTTTCCCCTGGTAATCCAGCAGTTGTGCGCAAGGCAGAGGGGCTCACGAAACCAACAATAGCAGGCGAGCTTGGGGATGGCCAGCCATTGAAGTACCAATGTGAAGCACTATGTGCTATCTCAGCCCGTAGAAGCAACTATGGAATGCACCTTATATAAGAACAGTTTTGTATTACTTTCTTCTGAATGCCTATGAACTAGAGAAACTATGTATGGGAAATGGTTCCCCTTAGAGAAAAGCTTGGGCTGGATATGATTTAATCCCAAAGAACTAGATTCCACATTACGGCAGCTGCCATCAGTGTAGTGATCTGGGAGGCAGAGGAAAGAGTTCTTGACCTCTGCCAAGGTCATGGGGTATTCTTTTTGGCAGCGAAACATTGCACCTTCTATGAGTGATTCCAGATCAGAGGGCTCAGTCATTACAAAGTCACTACTAATTTTTCCTATTGATACAAAGAAGGATAAACCCTCACATGGCGATTCAGTTGGGTTAGGGCACTGCAGGACTTGAGAATCTGCAACTTCCAGTCTTCAGAAATTGAGTGGTACAAATGGATTGAGACCAGTGTTTTCTAGCCTGTTGAGGAAGTGTTCAGAACATAACTGAAGGGGGGTAGCGGTTGTGGTTTACAAGACTGCCTATGCAAAAGTAGCAAGTTTATTTTTAAAAAAAGAGGGAGTGTGGGCTTGAGTTGGTAACTGATACTGTCTTTAGAGTCCATCATCAAAGTGTTATATTGGTAGTTAGGCTTTTAATTTCTTCATTTTAATGAAAGCATGGTTTTTGTTTTGACATTGTAGTGTGCCTCCTGTACAAATCTGGAAACATAATCTGTTGTTGCTCAGAGGTACATAGGTCATAAATAAGCATAGGAGTGTTACTGGTGTTAGTCTGTAGAGGCAGTGCGTGCTATGGAGGGTTCATGCTAGCACAGAAATGCTTTTTAACATTTGAAGTGATGGTTTATAGCACGTATCTGTGATAAAACTGCCCAAAGAAATGTCACTGAATTCCTTTTGTGTGTGTCTTTTGTTGAGCTTTTTTTAGTATGGAATCCAGGGTTGGCTTGGATGGGTGTTTGAATCAACTTCTAGGAAAAGATTTGGTAGTCTGGATACCATGATTAAAAAAAAATAGCATGCTGAACTTTGGAAACAGGTTATCTGGAGTCTCGTGTCATTTATGCATTTATGGTTAGCTGTGGTATCAGTGCATTTAAATGAAATATAACTTCATTAGATAACAGTGTAATTTTTCCCAGAACAAAAATTGTCTGTAACGCTTTGAAGTGGTTTAAAGCAGCTCTTCATGATCTGTCAGGGCCATAATAAATGGATGTCAAAGTCATTTCGTATAGCTAATGAAAAGATGACATCAGCATCTGTATCACTGAACTTAGCCAACACCTTTAAATCAAGAATAGTGCTCTAATTCTCCACTTATTAAAGTGGAAAATTCAGAGAGGGAGGAAAAATATATGGGAGAGTAGGAATATATGAGCCAGTAGGGCAAGGAATGTGCTTTCTAGTCTCTGCTCTCTTTTCTTTCCCTCGCCCTCTTCCCTTGATTAGTGTCTCTTCTGATTTGAAGAACCTTCAGAAGGAGACCAGGGTAACAAACACAGCATTCTCTATAAGCTTGCTGGCAATATAACATGATAGCTCTGAAACATGAACTGTGGTGTTCATTTAAAGAGGTCTAACTTGGAGGATATCAGAATGTCTGCATTGTAAGAAGGGAAGTCATCAGATGAATTAAAAAGGCAGTAAAAACAAGGTAACGAGAACTGGTAGCCAGACTTGATCCCTTTCCCCTGTAGGTTTGAACTTTGATTTCTGTCTTGGGTTATCAGGTTAATTTACCTTGAGTAGCTTTACTACTACATGGCAAGACCCTATGTTTCTAATTGAAAATACACCTTTTAACAGTCAGCATCTCCTGCACAGATGTGTGGTGAAATCTCCAAGAATGCAGGAGCGTCCAAACATCATAAAGCAGTATGCTGATGCTCCTCTAACTAGGAGGGAGGAGAGAAGATCTTGCCTAGAGAGGATTTATTTGGAAAATGAGTAGGCTTGAGAGCGCCCCTCATACCTGGCTCAGCATGAGAGATGCAGATGATACCGGTATAGAGGTGCAGATGATATCAGTATTTTGAACAGGAAACTATACTTTAAATGCTTTGAAAACAACTTAAAACTATGCAAGACTGATGTATTTAATGCAATGGCTGATGTGTCAGATTAAGATTAGCTGAGAAGCAAAGCGTTTATTATTGTTAATACTGTCTTCAGTTGTGTGACTAGACCTTAAACTGCTGGGAATATTCCAGTCATTTGACAACCTTCATGCCAGGTGTTTGGGGCTTCTAAAAGAAAGAATTTGTAAACAACTACTACTAGTTCCTTTATTTGTCCCCCATTTTTTCCACGTGTTCCTTTTTTCCTTTTCTCCAAATCCTACCTCTCAGTTTTTCTCACTCTGTTTTGAAGAAGTCTTGTTAAGTTGAAACTGTACAAAGTAATCTGCTCAGATGTTTTCATTAAACTGCCTAGGGATATTTATGTATTGCATCAGCTTTTTATTGCAAAAGTGTTTTTTTCCCTGTGTGATCAAAAGAGGAAGACTAGCCTTATCTGCAGAGCACTATTACACTGTCTCTTCAAACTGAAGGCAGAGGAGAAATCTCGTACCTCTGTGCTGTTTACGAATCAAATGCTGGATTATGTAATGTGGTTTCTTCTGACATGACATGATTACTGTGAAGTGATTGAGGTTGCAACATAACTAAGAATATTACATAAACTATGTAATTATTGGACTATGTGTAGTGGCAGCACAAGCTTGAAATGTATTTTAGAGAGTTTTCTAAAGTATCATCTTTGTGACAAAAACTGACACTGAGAAATGTTGCAAGGCCTGTGGTTAGTAGAACTCAAACCTGAGCTGTAGAGAGTGGAGTTCTTGCAGTGCAAATTTGAATGGAAAAAAAAATCAAGTAAATGTAGGGAGAATGCTTTTCTATTCAGTAATACAGTAGCATGCAGAAAATATGAAATCCATGTTGCAAACAAAAGTTGTTGAGTCTTAGGATAGAAATAAGTCATTAGATAGGTAGAATGACAAAAAAAAAAGTTGTATTTTATGAAAATATCGATTCAAAGCACAGTGTGTAGGGTATGCTGAAAAGTAAACCAAGGAATATATGCGAGACAAATGAAGTTATGGTGTAAGCTAGTAGGTATCTGCTCTAAAGTGGTACTGAAGTAACCCTTTCTCCTCCTTAGTATTTCAGGAAGAGTCTGTAACTATTTTCTTTTGCATGTCTTTAAGTTTTTGTGCAACTTCAACATAAAAAGCAAAATTTTTTTTTTCCTTTTGCAGTTGACAAGGGTAAGCAGCGGAGTCCTAAAAACTCATGCATACAGACACAGACTTCCACAGACGTGCATTCACATGGAACAAAAACAGCCGAGTTGACGCAGTATAAAACAAAATGCGAGAACCAAAGTGGAATCATCCTGCAGCTGAAGAAATTCCTGTCAAGTAGTAACCAGAAGTTTGAAGCGTTAACGGTTGTGATCCAGCACCTACAGACTGAGGTAAAACTCAGTTAGTCCCTTTTAGCTTTAATTTGTTGTGCAACAAGGGCTTCTGAATGTATTAATAGGCTGATATATAACATCTGTATTTCCTCTCCAGTTTCTGCAGACTTATATCTTCCTCCTCCTATGACTCCTTTTTTAACATCTGTTAAATTGCAACTTCCTGTATTAACAGGCGTCTAATTAATGATGAAGTTATAACAGAATGCTCTTATGTTAGTGCTCTTTTTAATGTAACTTAATATACATGTTTGTAACCGAGAAATACTTTCCAAAAAATTGCAGAACAGTCAGTAAGAAATGTGCTTACCTTCTTTTTCTGTAACTTCTGTCTTTTTTTTCTTTGGGGATAGCATAAAATTTGCTCCAGGAGTCAGCTGGATAGGGAAAACTAACAGTGTCTTAATGTCTCTGCAGCTTCATGCCCTTTCCTGAAAAGGGATTTTTAAGAGTTTGTAGTCAGAGTCTTTAAGGGCTGAGCACCTGCACGTATATACGTCAAGTTTTGCTCTTGTAGAAAATACTAGTTTCAACAGATAACCTGTTTGACTTTGCTTTTTTTATCTGACATTGTGTTACTTGGACTTATGTAAAGGTTAGAAATCTTTTGAGCCGTTAAGACTGAAGTGCCAGGATGGTAATGGTTGTATTTATTGAAAGGGCAACAAATCTTGCGTTATTGGTGCTATCTTAAAGTTATCAACTCAGCATAGAAATTTTTGATTTTCATCTGGATTTTTAGAGTGGAATTAAACTGTATTTTAGTGTTTATTTGTCTGTTTGACATACATAATGACCTGATAAGGTTAATAGTGTACTGGAAGGCTGTGGTCTGCTTTGAAAGCTTTCAAGGGAAGAAAAATCTGAACTGAATTAAGGAAGTGATATCATTATGGATTTCTGCTGTAATAGCTGTGGCATACTGCAGTAGGGTGGTTTTATTTCATTTTATTTTATTTTTGCATTTTATACCTAATGGCCCAAGATTGATATCAATCTTATTTTAGCTATTCCAATATAAAATTATTTTATAGTCTGGTATACAAAAAAGCACTGATTTGTCTTAATATGCTGCCAGAAGCATAACACACACTTTTCTTGTGGATAGTATCTGCTCTCTCTCATTTCGTCTAAAAATACTACTTTATGGCTGAGTTCAAGTCTGGTTCAACTCGGTAAGAGCAGCTGGCTGCTGCCAGTGTTCTCTTCTAGTTTGGATTTATTTTTTTAAATTGTTGGTTGGAACGCCTTTCTCTACTAAGGAACTAATTGAAGATCTTGAAGCCATGTGATAAAGAATTTTTAGATGCCTGTCATCCAATATGAAATTGTGAAATTCTAAGTGAAATTCTCACTGCTGAACTTCCACGCAGTCTTCTAATTACTATATAATAAGTACCTTGAATTTAGTAACTTCTATAATTAAATGTCTTGGCCTCGGTTCGTCTCTCAAATATTCTCATATTGCTACTTTTTAAAATTCAGGCATACTTTATCTATGTAACATTTAATGAGAGGAAGCCTGTCATACATACTTGCTTCTCCCAGGCTGTTTTAAAGCTTGCTTGCAGTCTAAAAATGATTTCCCTGAGAAAAATTGGGGGGGGAGGGAGGAAGAAGTATAAGAGGGAGGGAAGAGAGGAGAACTGCGTGGAGGAAAATACTAATTTTGCTGCTTCTTCCTTTTCATTATTATTTTGGAGGTGGAAAAAAACTTGATTCTTATCCAGTGGTATAAAATAAGTAATCTTTGAGAACTGCGCTAAAACTACTTATGTATGTATTCTTGTACCAGGTGTTGGTGCAAAGACTGTTCACTCCCTTTTTGGGATAAGACAGTGCTGCAGATGAAGAGGTATTATCTTACTCTTGTGTTTATTGTAGATGTGAGGAGGGCTATGCTGCTATGGTTGGTATATGGACTACTCAGACTACTACCTTTTAACTAGCTGGGGGAAACATCCTAGTGGATTTTGGTATTTGGGAACACTGAATAGATCTTTTTTCTTCTTTCTCCTGGCTCTTGGTGGAAGCATGGATTCCAGTATAGCTAACTTTATCCCAAGTGGCTATTACATTTAGTTTTCTGAAGAACCTCTCGGGGACCCCTTCGATGTCGTTCCGACTCTCAGTGTACACTCAGGCTATCAGATGGAGTTAGCTTTAGCTCGTGAGCTCTGAGCCCCTGACTCATCTACTGCACAACCAGCTGAAAGTAGCTTCAGCTTGAGCTACTGTTCTCTTTTCTGCTTGTCCTAAACAAACAAACAAAAAAGCTTAGGCTCATGCTTAGCTGGTTACATGAGCAACAAGGTTGTGCTTGCATTCCTGCTCCTAGAGCAAGTGTGAAGTAACACGACACAGCTGGAGCTGATAGCAGCTTGCTGTCACCAGCAGAAGGTCCTGCTCTGGACTCCTCTCTGCTCGCCCGACCCTGCAGAGGGCTGATTCAGCTTGCAACCAGCAGAAGACAAACCCAGCCAGAGAAAGAATTTCTTTGTCAGATTAGGCAGGGTGAACTGTTCTCCTGTGTCTCATCCCTCTTGCGCTGGCTCTGACCACAGGTTTGAGGACGAGCTGCCTGGTCAAATGCAGAAGGGAGGTGGGCTGAGCTCTTGGCTCGCTCCAAGGCTGTATGGTGCAGCTAGAACCCCTTGGCAAAACCTGCCTCAGCCTCTCTTTTTCCCTGCAGGATGTGCAATGGACAGAGCTGAAGTAACTGGGAGAGGCGATTCAGCTGTTGGATTTTTGTTTTGTTCTGTTTTCAAGAGGTCCTGGTGTGTTTCTACACAAGAATTTAAAGTAATTTCTTATCAGCTCACTTGAAATGGGATAGCTGCTAACAAAATCAGAACTTGTTGGCAATGAGTTCTGTCAAAAGTTCACCCAGCCCTTCTGGAATAAAGTAGTGAGGCTACTGTGTAGGGGCTTAATAAGATCTTGCAATGCCACTGTGCTGTTTCTAACAGGAATCTGCCACAGAAGTCTGCATGAGCTCAAACGTGTTTGTTAAAAGTATTATCTGGGAGCTGTCAATATTAACAGCTGGCTTTGATAATACCTTAACGCTTGAGCTGTTGGGGTTTGTCCAGATGATTGCTATGCTTAAGTACTTTTATCAAGACTATTCCAAAATTTAACCTCTTGAAGGTGGGTTGATCGGTGATGATAAAATTCTAAAACCCAATTTTTACCTAGCAGGCGCTAAGTAATCTCACTACAGAGTCATTCTGCTGCAGTAAGCTAATATTAGCTGGAAACTCTTGGCAACCCGAGTACTTCGTGGAAGTGAACAATGTCTGACAAGAATGTCAAACTGCACTACGTTTTTCCATTGTTAAGATAATTGCATGTATGCTAACAGCATTAAAAGAATGTGTCAAACTGCAGCCTAATCACAAAAACAAGCTAGTCTTTTTCTAGACTATTATACTCCCTCTAATCCCCTGATAATTCCTGTGACTTCATAATTACTTTCCTGTTTTTTTAACTTCAAATAAGAAAGGAAAAGAGTGGCGGCACAGAGGAAATGGTGAAATCTGCCTTATGCAATAAACTATTAAGTCCAAAGGAAAGCTGTCTTCCGTTAACCTCTAACATCATTAAGCTCTGAAAACCAGAGCGCTGTGTTTGAGTTGATCCTTTTTACTCCTCTTGGTATTACTTTTGCATAATAATTTTGAATGTACTTGCTTGTCTCCGAAGGATTTAATAGACCCATTAACAGAAGCTTTAAACATATGGTTTAATAGGTCTGCTGCAAGTCAGGCTGTGGCCCACTGTTGCTTGAGCTGTCACTCGTGCAACCTTGCCATCTTCCTTCTCCCATGTATTTGTGTCTGCTCCCTTGCACTAGCACTGGCTGGTGCCTGCTTGGCCTTGTGGAGAGGCAGATCAGGGTCCTAATGAGAAAGAAAAATTCGATTATGTATCTGTTTTGTAGGTCTGTCCATACCCCAGATTTTGTGGGTATACCGCTGTGAACTGGTTAATTCAGAGAAGGAAGGGGACTGGAAAAGCAGCAATGGTGACGTGAGGTAGGGGGCTGCGTGGCTGGGATTTCCACGGCAACGTGAACTTAAGTTAAGCGGCTCTCCAGCTGCAGCTGTGGGTAGGAACTAGATATTCCTATGCTAAGGAAAATCCCAAATTCGGATAGCTTCCATAACATCCTGCAAAAGTAGATCAGCAACTGGTGGCACTGAGGCCACTGCAACTACTGCACTAGCTGATACCTCTGCAAGTTGCTCAGCCCCTTGTGACTTCCTCTGTGCTGTTCCCTTCTAATGCTGCCCAAACGTTGCAGTGGGGGAATTGGAACTTCTAATCCCTTATGATATTGAAACTACTAAATGTTTGGAGGTACAGAGGCTTTCTGTTGTTCTATCAGCACGATATTAGCTTGGTTTAAATCTGGTTTTGGTAACTTCTGAAGCTGTTTCACAGAGATTTAGCTTTCAAGCAAAAAGGAAATTTATTGCTATAGTGACTTAACTGTTGCAAGTGTGAATTGACAAATATTACCTTTTCATCCTCGTATTTTAAGTAATGCGTGAATTTTAATAGCCGTGTTCAGAAGCAGTCAGGCCATTTAAAAATATTTTGAACGTTAAAATATTTAAATATTAATACTCAGCTCTGTTTGTCTTGTTTAGTAAACCAAATCTAATTAAGTATTTTCAAGAGCTCTCAAAAGTTTGTGCTGTAGAAAGGAGCTGTAAAAGTTTGTGTGGAATTCTGTGAAATCTTCAAACATAGTGCTACAGAGAAGAACAGAAACTAAATTTCGCTGTTGTGAAATTTGGTATAATTATTATAAGACGACTGGGATTTACAGCCCAAATGTTGTTTAGGAATGACTATGATGACATCTTGAAAAAGCTTTCTGCATAGAGTGAATGTGATTTGGGAGGGTATGGAGCCTTGATTTAAAAAAAAAAAAAAAAAAAAAAAAAAAGATGTGGACCCAATGGACACCATTAATTCCGGATGTGACA